GGAAGCTTCTGGATATGCATAAAAATATGCCAAAACGTTAACAGTATTCATTTGAAGTAACAGGTTTTGGTAATGTTGAAGACGCTTTCAACATGGAGCCATAGTTAAGGAAATCATTTTGTAATCTTACAAACTTCCTCTCGTTCATTGGTGTTAATTCAGGATACACTTGGTTGAATTTTTTACACGTTCTGACAATGATTTGATCACTTTGTTCATGTGTATAATAAATAATTTCATAAGAACTTCGTTTGAATAATCGATATTTGCATTCATTTTGGAAGATGATTCGAAACACCGTCGATAGCTCTTTGTAAATTACTTATTAAAGTAACCGAACTGCTATAAGCTTGATAATTCCACTGCAACCTAAATCCAAATTCTAAAAAAAAAAAAACAATGTTTCTAGAAGAAGCGACTTTATTGAGAAAACTTGACGATTTAAGTATAGGGACATGATATATCATCTTGAAGCATTTTTCACCATCTTTCAATCTACCGAGTGATATTCAGGGGGTTTCATTTGAAAAAATGAGCTTTTGACTTTTTTATGCACAATGGAAATAATAGTAATTTTAGCACGCCCTGTATGATATAGAGTCGATTTCTTGGTGTTATTTGAATAATTCGAGTTTATCCAAACTATCATCAAACATAAATTGAGAGTACTAATATACTTAATTTCAATTAAGGCTATGTTTTGGACCATATTTAGCACAATTTATTTTTCATCTCGAAAACAGATAGAGATAGGTATAGGTCATTATTGACAAAAAAGTATTGAAATACCAGAGCGATTCCAAAAATGTATTAATATACGGGGTGTTCTATTTAAAAAAATAAAGTTGCTAGGACTTTTTGATGGAAGTGGCAACGCTGCAATGCTGAAAATATTTTAGATCGATAGAACAGGTAAGGAAATGTGAGAGGTGAAATTTTCAGAAAAATCATGCTTTGCGTTTTCCAGAAACGTATAACCTACCATCGACAGTGAGTCACGCTGTCAAAGGGCTAACATTATGATTTATTTTTAGTTTATTGTAATCGTTAGAAAATGTCCTCATAGGACTAAATTGCTGTTACAACATTAGTTACAAATGAAAGTGATAAAAAACATGATAATGAATATTACTGGAGTTTTTTCCCAACACCAAACCGAAGATCAAACAGTCTGATCTTCCTCTTGAAGACGATCACTTGGTGATCGAAACACGTGTCGGGGAGTTAAAATAACGGTTTGGTATTGGTAAAAACTCCAGTAATATTCAATACTACACCAAAGATTCCAAACAGTGCATCATAAGTTTCATGATAATATTTAGCATATTGAGAGGGTATTTTCAAAGAAGTCTTATATGTTTTGAAGTTATAGAAAAATCTAAAACATAATTTGATACAATAAAATGAATTAAACTAAATGTTGTATATTGTCTACTTATTAAATGAAATTAGTCTGTTGATGAAGTTATTTTCGTCTATGACGATACTACTTTTACAAGAATGTCTAGAATAATTATTGGATATTTTGTAATGCGTAGTTTATTTGTCATTTCCAATTCATCGAACAGTTTCAGAATTCACCGCAATGGAATTATCCAATAAATAATAATGTCAGAGTAGAAAATTCTCTGGAATCACGTAAATTATGTTATACTCAGAAGTCGGATTCTTTGTGTATGAACATTATATGCAAGGTTATGATTCACTGAAAAAGTTCATATCTGAGGAATAAACTGAAACGTTAAATTTGTTGTAATAAATCAGTTTGAGGAATAAACTAATATTTATCAGGATCTGACGTCACTCTATTCCCATATATCATGTTTCAATCAAAACCTTTCTTGTTCTCGATTGAGTTTCTTCATCGCTGTTTTTTGCAAATTGTAAAATTTTGTTGACTGGAAAATGTGAAAATTTTTATGAAAAAGAAGATAAAAAGTTGAAGTTGGAAACGTCCGTCGTTTGATTGTTGAAACGATTGGAATTGTGAGTTAATCCAGAAAAAGAATTTCAAACATCAGTGAAACAGAAATTGTTGAGGGGTTCAGAATTGAAAAGAACTGATTAGTATTCGATTCATACTGTATGTGAATGAAACTGAGCATGACGACATTCTATAAAAAAATTCGAAGGATTGACATTCAGTGGACCCTGTAATCAATTGAACAGATATTTTTTGATTTTTGTCTACGATTACGACTTTGAAACTCGAAATTTCGGCTGTCATCTCGTTATTTCGAAATTACGACTTCAATTACTACTTTAATTTCTAAATTGTGACTTCAACCTCGTTAATTCAAAATCACCACTTTAAAACTCGAAATTTCCCGTCAAATCTGGAAATTACGACTTTAATCTCAAAATTACATCTTTAATCTCGATATTTCGAAATGACCACTGTAAAACTCATAATTTTCATTTCAATTTCGAAATTACGACTTCAATCTCGAAATTACGACTTCAAACTCGAAATTTCAACTGTAATCTCTTCATTTCGAAATTACAACTTTGAAACTCGAAATTTCGACTTCTATCTTGAAATTACGACTTCAATCTGGAAATTACGACATCAATCTTGAAATTACGACTTCAATCTCGAAATTTCAACTTTATTCTCGTTATTTCAAAATAACAACTTTGAAACTAGAAATATTGCCTTTTCTCGTTATTTTGAATTTCGAAATTTTGACTTCCATCTCGAAATTACGACTTCAATCTGGATATTACGACATCAATCTTGAAATTACGACTTCAATTTCAAAATTTTAACTTTATTCTCGTTATTTAAAGATAACGACTTTGAAACTCGAAATTTAGGCTTTTCTCACTATTTCGAAATTACGACTTCAACTTCTATTTCGACTTCAATCTGGAAATTACGATTTCAATCTCTAAATTTCAACTCTATTCTGGCTTTTCTCGTTATTTCGAAATTACGACTATTGAAACTTTAAATTTCAACTGTAATCTCTTCATTCCAACGGTAATTTCTTCATTTCGAAATTACAACATTGAAACTCGAAATTTCGACTTCCATCTCGAAATTACGACTTCAATCTGGATATTACGACTTCAATCTGGATATTACGACTTCAATCTGGATATGACGACTTCAATCTGGATGTTATGACATCAATCTTGAAATTACGACTTCAATCTCAAAATTTTAACTTTATTTTCGTTATTTCAAAATAACGACTTTGAAACTCGAAATTTAGGCTTTTCTCATTATTTCGAAATTACGACTTTGAAGTTCAAAATTTCGACTTCTATCTCGAAATTACGACTTCAATCTGGAAATTACGATTTCAATCTCAAAATTTCAACTCTATTCTGGCTTTTCTCGTTATTTCAAATCACGGCCAATACGGAGGGTTAGAATACGATATATTTCGAAAAGAAACAGGCACGTACAGGTATATTCCTGACAGTTCACATCACTGTGGACAGCACAAACGTGCTGGGTTTAATTTTTTGGTGCATCGTCTTTTGACTTTCTCTCTAATACATGATAGGTTCACAAAAGAAAAACGTACAATACAGGAAATATAAGCCACTAACGGTTTCTCGAGGGGTATTGTAGATGACATAATAAGGAAGAAGAAGTTTAGGTTAAGAATGAACAAAATCTCGACTTTCAGAAAGGACAAAAATGAAGATAAATACATCTCAGTTCCATACCACCAATATACGAAGAACTTTGGAAAGATTTTCAAGGAACTAGGTATGAAGGTGGTTTATAAAACAAGTCATACACTACAGAGCCTTTTGGGAAGTCCAAAAGACAAAGTCGAGAATAAAAATATGAATAGGTACCTAAAAATGAAAAAAAAACTCTCGAAAAACTCTACGATATATAGGGAGACGTGAAAGTTGTTATTATGTTTTTATTCAACTCAGTCAACCAATTTCCAGGGCCGTAATTTAAAAAGGAATAATTCACACAATTATAATCGAATATTATCGAAACATCCCGAAATATAAAATTGAATTTAATTTCTCAGTATAAAGTGAACATTTACGATCCAAAAACTGCAACAAAATATACAGGTCCGTATTTAAAAATTCAAAGATGGGGTGTGGCCCAAGTCAGATGACACCCTGTATAAAAGATTCATGGATATATTCTGAGAGCACACATCAAGTGCCAATAGCAAAATGTGGACAGATTTTCAATATGTCTACGAATAAAGAAGATATAGGCAAAAAAATAATTTGGGATTTTTTGGTTTTTCATGTATAGAGCTATATTCGTTTTCTTTACATCACTGAATAGGTCTCTAAAATACGCAACTTTATTATAATTTAACCGACACTCTATCTCTCATCGTTTACGAGATCCCCTTGTACAGAAACGAATTTGAATAGCCCTGTAGATACTTCAACGGGATGTGTTCAAGTGACATGGCACATTTGATTCCACCAAGAGCGGTACTGAGATTCAACTCAGTACACCTGGAACCTCACTGTTTAAGAACTCTTTTATTTGGAGAACTGCGTTCATGTGGAATAAACTTCCTGAGAACTTTTTCCCAAATAAATTTAATCTCCAGTGATACAAATCCAACGTGAATCGCTTCTTTCGCACAGGCACCGCTTTTAGAGCCCCTTGAGGATGTTCCTGTAATGCTTGTGTTTTTTAATTGAAAAAAGTGCACTGGATTCAAATGGCGCTTGTTTCGATTAAATTGAAGTAGGTATTACAGTTTAAGTAGACTCATAAATTTTTCAATAACTTAATATAAGAACTTCATAGGAAATTCTACGCTATTTTTCACCAACAAATTTTAAGCTCGGTAGTTATCTGCAGAAACTCGCAAAATGAATGACCTTTGAGATATTTCGCCAACAAAAATCAAATATAAAATAAATAGTTGAGATTTTGATGATTGATTGGCGGATTGAATTTCAATTATGACTAGATCGACTCACGAATTCGCTGTCGTGTTCGTCGCTAGTCGATATTTAAAGAATAATAAACCTATGATTATATTACTTACGCTTGTCCTTCAAAAATATGCTCGCAACCGCTGTGGTCATCTTCACTCCAATGAAAGTGTAACTGCTCAAATACATATTCGAATCCATGCAGGGGCCCCCCTTTCAAAATTGGTAACTCTCTGTTTTTGAACCGCAGAGTTGCTGAAAAAATAATGTTTCATCATTTCTATGACAAAATTATTTTTGTGGAATATTCAGCTCTGGGAAATGATTAGGAAGAACAAAATTTGACTTGAGAAGAGCCGAAAAAGTCCTAGGGCAATTGATTATATTCATACTTTTCACAATTTATGAGCTGACAATAATACAATACAATACTTTATTTTCCTGATACTTTTTCACAAGCATATATATATATATAT